GTTATTATTTAATACCGTATAAATTAACTGTAGTTAATAGAAGGATGCTAAATATGAGAACGTTTAATTAGGCTGTCGCTCAGTCTAAGGAAATAAGGAAGGATTATGTATGTATGCTACTATAGATTAACTTGCCAACGGCAACGTTTCATTAACCTCTCTTGATACAAATGTTGCTGAAGGCTATGCAAATTATATTAAACTTGCAACAAACTTTCAGCGGTTCAATGTAAAATATGGAAATGGAGAGTGGGAGCTTCAGCAAAGAAACTTGAGTGCAAAACTCACCTAAGAATTGCATAAGTTAATCACCTAAGTTGCATATTTGTGTGCTTCGAGGAAACTATGAGTTCCTACGGAAATGTCTAGGACCTTCATCGAAAATATGAGCAACTCCATTAATGTCCAAACTACTATAAAGGACAAAGTAAACTTCTCTTTTACATTCATTCCCTCTCTTAAGGTCACAGATTAAAACTAATATTTTGTATTTTTTTCAGGTACAAAAATTAATGGAAAAAAGAAGACACGATCTGCAGCACAGGAGGACACAATATGTGTCCGCCTTACTTGGACCACTGCCTTTCCTGACGCCACAGGAGACATCGTCATTAATTCTTCTGTCCACATCTAATGAAAGTGACCAGGTCACTGACAGCACAGGTGAAACTTCAACTTAAAGCCAAATTCGTGTCGTTTCACCTGTTTGCTACATCGGGTTGGGAATTTTTTTATTTACTGATTCGTTTACGAAGCTTCGTATCGGCTCAATACGAAGTTTTTCCCCAAATTGTGCGAGAAATTTGAGAAAATTTAGGTTCTATTTCACCTAAGGTTTTGCAATTGTTTACGATATTTCAAACTTACATTTGTCTGAAACGTAGACTTTTTTTGGTACCAATTTAAGAAAAAATCTGACCAAGTTTTCATGTAAGAACTAAGTTATGGTAATGTACCTTTGCAGATTGTTGAATAGATTAGTTTACCAAGCGAAATTTGGAGGAATTTCTGACAAAATTTCCAACACTAAATTAATAACTGAAAGATTCTAAAATTTTGTTTAGTACATCAATAATCACACAATAATCACTTTAATCAGGAAGCTGATTAATATTCACTTTAATCAAGAAGCTGATTAATATGTCAATACTTTGAAAATACATATGTAAGAGTCGCATATGTAAAAACTTTGGAAGCATTTATACATGTGCGACTCTTGTCTGGTTAGATTTCATCTGGAATTTACAATTAATTAATAAATAAAGCATCGCAATATTTAACTCTACAAATAGATAATTGAATCATGATTGAAAAATTTGTAAGATTTTCCTTATTTTTTCGGAGTTATTTAACTGGATTATTTCATTTTTTGAAAAACCTTAACATTGGCAGGTTACATGCAGGGCAATGTTATATTTAACAAGGGACACTCACGACCTGTCGTTCGTGTCCAGGGTACCGACTATGTTTTTTAGAATCTACTAGGACCCTAAATGAAGGATCCATTCTTATTTCCGTGTAAAACCCATATTTGGCGCCGTGGCGTGGCGCCAAATTCGCCAAATTTGTAGGTTTTTATTTTTAAAACCGCCATAACTTTTGAAATCCTGGGTGGATTTTCAACAAAATTTCCAAATATCATGAAAAATGGTTCAACTTTAGTATGCAATCAAGTTTTTCAAAATATTGATTGTTTCAATTTTTGTCAAAATTTTGAGATTTTTTTTTACACGTAGAAATTCGGCAAAAAAATCTTAAAAATCTCTTAAAAATAAAATTTTTACATTTTTTATTTTTGTCCTCAAATTTTGACCTTTGTGATCATTTTAAGTCCAAAATTTTGAAAATCCCACAGAAACTGCAAAAGTTATGGAGGTTTGAAAATGGTCGAAAACGCAGATTTTTAAGTTTGGCGCCACGCCACGGCGCCAAATATGAGTCTTACACGGAAATAAGAATGGATCCTTCATTTAGGGTCCTAGTAGATTCGAAAAAACATAGTCGGTACCCTGGACACGAACGACAGGTCGTGAGTGTCCCTTGTAAGTAGTAATTGTCAGATTTATAGTTTAGGTGCAATCGAGTTTCGACTTTTTGTGTTTTTTTAAATATTTAAATTACTTATATGTAGCACACCGTGAAACCTTTGCCTTAATATATATATTAAGTTATAACTTAAGTCATTTTGATAAAATTGATATGTACTTGATGAGTAATTAATTAATTGGAATAAATTCGCACGTTATGTTAAAAAAATTTGGTAAAAAATAAACTTTAGTAAATGAGATTGAGCGTACTCAACACAAACCCGTATTTATATATGATCGCCATTCATTTAGGAAATTTACCTGATTTTTGTTGTGAGTGAGAAGATTCGCAATAATGAATATTTGCAAAACTGTCAAAGCTTTTTCAACGAATGTCTGAAGAATTTTGCGAATTAAACATGCCGAGTGGCCGAATAAATTTGAGAGAATATCGAACAGTTTTCCACCCAAGTTTTTGCGAAAACCCGGAAAACTTCTATTGATGTGAGACATTTGACGTGAGTACGCCCAATTAATATGCAGATCAGCCAATATTGATAGAAATTATATAAGTAATAACTTAAAACCAGAAGTGTTTAAAGTCTAATTAAACCCTGACATCTTAACTTAATCTCGACTCCACGGGACGAATTAAACGGTAACATGGACGTAAATTTTGAGACGTTTTCGGTGTGTCCATTTGAAATCCTACATCTTCACCGGAATCTATTTATTAATTAATAAAGGTTAATAAGTACCTACAGAGCTGGGAAAAAGGCAAGGAGAAACTTGCACTGTTTAATTTTACCTGTATTTTTTGCCTAATGCAATAACAGTGTCCGCAATTATGCTGATGCTCGTCTAATACGTTAGTGGAAATTCTCGCCGTTTTCTACGCAAATTTGATAAGCGTGTTAGGTATCCTGCCAATTTATTATTTTATTCTTCTTACTTTCATTATTCCTCCAAGGATGAAAATTTTTATGAATTTTCATAGCTGGTAATAGAAAATGGTTATTTTCCACGTAACCCATTCGTCGCGCACGACCCCAAGAATTCTGTGAAAAATTGGGACACGAAAAATAATGCTATTAAATAATTTACTCTTTTCAAATTTATTTGCAATCAATTCGTGTCAAGTTCCTACCACTATGTTTTTATGGATAAATTAAAGGCATTTTACCCCCGAAAAGAAATTTTGAAGGACACGAATTTATATAATTTGTGTTTTCCTGTGACGTTATTTTTGGCGCATGGTAACTAGCTTTTACAAATTTGTTTGTATTGTGGCGTGATAACTTTATTTATTTATTTACATAATTCTAAACAAAATGAGACATATTTGCATATGTTAATCACGAACATCCTAAACTTACGTAAGTTTTGTCCTCCACGTCACCACATGGCCACGTCACCCAGGTTTCGTAACGAGAAGGCGATCTTTTAAAACACATTTTTAGTTTTAGACCCACTATTTTGATACTTCAATACGAAAAGTTGTTTGGATTAGGGAAATTATGAAAATTTCTAGACGACCAAATTTCCATAAGGAGAAGAACAATTTAATCCTTCACACTTTAAGTTGCACGTATTTCAAAGCAGGCTTTGAAATAAAGAAGGTACGTAATTTGACCTCGATTCAATTTACGAAAGTGTTTACGATTTGTTTAATAAACGATTAAAAAAACAAGGAAGCAGAGAATGGAATATAAAAAGGGGGACTTTGCATAAGATACGCCGCAAAAATGAGGGATCCAAATAGAATCTTAAATACAGTGGGTGACTGAGCCACCCACTGTATTTAAGATTCCGAGTCACCGTGACTCGGAATGTGCGGTACAATTTAAATAAACACATTTATCCGTATTTATGACATGCACCATGTACGGTCCTTCGTAAGTATGTAACTTACATAATGTAAGATGAACAATCCAATGACTTCACGGGTCTCGCTCCGATTCGGATGAAAGTACGATAATTACCCTCTTAGCAACTTGGTAATAAAAAACAAGCGGAGTAGATATATGACTCTACGGGATTAAAAATTTACACTTTGTTGGTATAGATTTAGTAATAAAATAACACTGTTTGGTAATAATTTTAACACTAATTTGTGTTACTTTTTTTTACCATATAGTATTGTCTTAATACCAAATCATTACTATCGCGGTAAAGTCATGTATGCACTCCGCGGAGTAATGATTCATTAAAATTTTGTTTAGAGTGTATGGCACAAAATGTATGTCACATAAATAGTTCAGCACTTGTTTTCGGATTTGTCAGTCATAATGCTAAGTGCTTGATTTATAATGGAAGTATTCTTGTATAATTGATAATCGATTTTTTAATACTAATTTGTTTTCGTGAGAGAGAAAAATGGAAATTCTTGCTTTACGGATTTCATCATAATTACGGTTAAAATGAGCATTATTAAAAATCCGTGGGTATGTACATATTTATGTAAATAATTTTTTTGTGGTTTCATTAAAAATTGGAGGCGTAATTACAAATAAAACATGTATGCATAAATAAATACATTCACCTTCTTATCAGTTTGCATCTCCATTTGTTCCTGGGTAAATAAATTTTGATAAAATTATCCACTAAAATTATGCACGTAAAAAATCTCATCCTAAAAATCTCATCCTAAAATCTCATCCTAAAATCTCATCCTAAAATCTCATCCTAAAAATCTCATCCTAAAATCTTCATGTTTTTTGCATTTTCATGAAGAAGGAAATGCATGCAGTTCTCTTTGTTTTGCCGAGTCTCATTTTTGTCCGAGTTGCAACATTGGCACGAATTTGAGTCCACCTGGTTGACTCAACCTTCATAAAAGTAAACATTGCATTGCTGAAAGAAAGTAAATGTTTAATTGTTTCCAGTTAAAATTAATAAATTCAGGAGTGAAATTTTATCTTGTGGAGGAATTATAAGTTAAGTATTTTGCTGACGTAATAAAAAGTAAGCAGACAGAAATATTCATACTTTTACAAGTCAAGAAACCAAATTAACCTCTCTTTTCCATCCGGTCAATAATTTACAATTATGTAATTGTCGCCGTACACGAAATATGTGTCACATTACTGTGTAATGATGACGACGAGAAAGATCATCATCCAATATAGTCTCGTGTGCAATAAGTTTAATTTAGATCCGGGCTCTTACCCGAATAAAGAGAGATGCATCACAGCGGACAAAAAGAGTGAATAGGAGAGAGCGGAGATAGAGACAGGAAGAAGGATCAGGACGAGAGATAAGCAGCAGTAGGTTAGCATAGGTTAGTTTAGTGTGTAAGAGTTAGTAATGTAGTCTAGTTATTAAACTAGTGTTTAAGGCCAGCTGTGTGTTGGATTCGTGGATAATAAGTGAATAAATGGAATACGACCCAGCTAACTCTTTATGTAATTAATCCGCTGGGACCCTTAAGGTCCGCAGCGGCAATATAATTAATTGAACTGCATTGGTAAAATGGTGTAAATTTGTTCCAGGTCAGTTATATATGATGTCCAGCAGCAAGGTGTGCCTTATCTGCTCTCTAGACCTCGTCCAGTCCCCGCCATTCATCGATGATGAGAAGAACCCCGGAAAAATACGGATCTCGACCCTGAGCAAATTATTGGTATCGGCTGGAAATCGGCTGAATATTTGTACGGAAATTGATGGCAACGAGAACTGTGACCTTTGTCCCGTCTGCGCCCCCGTGATCAGCGAGATTGAACAAGTGCGAGGTCAAATTGCCGTCTTGGAGGGGAAAATTGGAGCGAAACTTGGTCAGATTAGGGAGACAATTTTGTCGTCGCGATATGTAGATGATGAGGTTATGCAAATTAGGGAGTTTATCCTTCGCGTGATAGGTTGGTATTTGATAGTTTTCAAATATTTTTGTAGTACTAATTTTTTGTTGGCTTATAATTTAGGCGAGAATGAGGAAAAACGTGAGTACAATTTTACCGGGGATGAATTTCCGGTAAAAGTGGAACCGGAACTGAATTATGACAACGACCTTGGCCGTGGTGAAGACGACCAATTCTTACCCGACGATTTTACTTACTCGCCGCCCGAGAACTTGGTGGAATCAGAGGACCGTATAAAATTAGAAGATCTTGAAGATGACGATTCCTCCTTCTGCATTACTCCACACTCACAAAAGAGAGGGAGAGGACGGCCTAAAAAGTATGGCAAGGCTGTAGTTCCACGGTATGAAAATAAGGACTTTGACACCCTTAAAAATAATGGCGCCCCTTATGAAAATGAACTGCATTCTGAAGTCTAAATTCAAACTTAAGTACACTGCACTAAATCCAGCTTTAACCTTTACCAAGTTAACGTTGCTCTGGTTTTGTTGTGTGTATAATAACTCATTTAATTTAAAATTCAGATTTCAGAATGCGCCTAATTTTTAAAAGAATGACATTCATCCGTTTTTTTTGAGTGTATCAAATCAAACGTAAAATGTGCAAAAATGGATGTTTTTTTTGTCTTTAAGTAAACGCAAAAGAGAAGATTGGCCCTCACCACCTCCATCACAAAAACAAGGTAGCTCTAAAATACCCCGAAAATTTCAATCTCGCCCCCTGGAACCTACAAGGTCGTCGACCCGAACACGAAAAACCGTCCTAAAACCATCTCAAAAACTGGGCAAAAAGATGCTTACCGTTTCCCTTACCCGGCTCCCCAAAATTAGGAAACCCACCCCCAAACCGTACAAATGTTCCTCCTGCGCCCAATCCTTCATCGCGGAAAGCGCGCTGACCCGTCACCTCGGCCGCGCCCATGGCATCATTCCCTGCCCCGCTTGTCCCGCCACGTTTTCCTCGTCCAAGGAAAAGGACGACCACGTGAGGAGCGCGCACCATGCCGCCGCGCCGTTCCAGTGCGCCCTCTGCGGAAACAAGTTTCGTCGCCGGAATAAGCTCGCGATTCATATGGTTGTTCACCATGAAATTGGGGAGAAGACGTTCTCTTGCGGAAAATGTGGGAAGAAGTTCGTTCTAGAAGAGAATTTTAATCGGCACGTGACCCTGCATGACCTCGAGCAGGTCAAACCGATCGTGTGTGAGGTGTGCGACTCCAGATTTGAGGACGAGGAAAGACTAGCTACCCATCACGAGACGCATCATGACGCCAAGTCGAAGTACAGGTGTTCCTATTGTGGAACGGGGTGCACTTCCAAAAACAACTTGAATAGGTGAGGTGATTTTTATTCGTTAACCTCTGCTGATTTTTGAAATATGAAATTTCTCTTGGGGGAGATATTGATATCATAATTACGCCCTCAAATATAACTGAAATTTTAATAATTTCTTAAATAGGACAAATATTTTTTGCAGGAAGTTTACAATTTTTGGAGTTTTTTTTACGAAACATGAAAAATCCAATTTTCAACGTTGGTCGATATAGGGAAGATTCCCAAATTTGGGAAGATAAATGTGAAATAAATCTAGTTTTTATCATAGAGTTTTTCATAAAATGGTTTTATTTTTTAGAAATTTTAATTGATAACTTTTGCAATGTGTATTTATATGTTTTTTGTGCATAACGGAAAATAATCTGCATACTCAAATATTTGTGAATTTCATCCGAAAGAGGTTAAAACCGTGGTCACCATGACAACTCATACTTTTTTTGTTTAGGCACATCCGCACCCACACGAGAGAAAAACCTGAGAAATGTGACCAATGCGGGGAAACCTTTATGGACAGGTTGACCCTGGAGCGACACGTCGTCCGGGAGCACGTGGGCACAAAATCCCACACTTGTCACGTGTGTGGACAAGCGTTTTATCTCCAAGCAGACCTCCGAACCCATCTCTACATCCACGAGGGCAAACTCCAGGTCAAGTGTGAAACCTGTGGGGAAATGCTGCCCAATAAAAATGCACATCAAGCTCATCGCGTCAAAGTTCATGGCGAGGATCCATTTGTTTGTGAAGTGTGGTATGAAATTACACCGTTTTATATGTTTTGTATTTTTTTAAAAATTAATTGTCTAAAATCTGCACTCTTAAAAATAGTGTTACCCTTCTGAAAGGTAAAGGACACCGCACGGTCAACATAGCACAATCTCCCTCAGAGACTTTTACGCCCTTTTTTAATTTGCTATAGATCTTTAGTAGTAGAACAATAGTTAAATTACCCGTTAGGTCGAAATCGACCTCCTTGACCTTGTTTAGGTCGGCAGGTCAAAGGTCACGGAACCCCACAAGTGGGGACTCGTTGGAAAGGTCTCGGGGAGGGGATTCGGAATATATATACTTTGTGGGGTCTAAAACCACTCCCTGATGTTTCAGAGACCGAAGAATATTTTCGAGTTTTTGCCCATCTACTGATATGTAAGCTCCCAATCTACTGCTGTGTTAAATTTTGGGCAACTCAAAACTCCAGTTCTTTCTCGACCTTTAGACCCCCGTCAAACAAGGTCAAGGAGGTCGATTTTGACCTCCTTGAGGGTAACTTAACTTTTGTTCTGCTACTAAAGATCTACAACGTATCAAAAAATGACGAAAAAATCTCTGAGGGAGATTGTGCCATGTTGACCGTACGGTGTCCTTTACTCTGAATTCTAAACTATTGTAAACCCAGAGTAAACCCTTTGACTTGATAAGGACTCAAGTTTAGTGTCTGGATTTAGGATAGTTTACTTAATTTAGAATTCTGACTGCATTAACTTTTCAAAAAGATGACATTATTTTTAAGAGTGCGCACATTTTGTGCAATGGAAAATTTTTTCCGAATATTTAGTGCAGCCGTATTTACCTCCTTGCTCTTCTTAAGACGACATAAAAAGAGACACGGAGCAATAAAACAGCACAAATGCGAGGTAAGAATTTTAACTAAAAATTTAAATTCATTACCGAATTCGACAACATTTTTGCCCTCAAAAAAAGTTGTGCAAAATTTATTCAAAGTAGAGGATGACGTAACAATAAATGGGATTTGTCAAATTGTGGGTCAAATTTGTGAAAATTTGTGTAAAATTTGTCAAAGTTTGTATACAATTTTAAAAAATATTGCAAACATATTATTGTTGTGGCATCCTTTATTCTACTCAAAAGTGGGGCAAATTTATTTAGAGTGTGACGATTTCGCCCTGTAAATTAATCTCATTTTTTTCTGGGCAGGTTTGCCACACTCTTTTCTTCTCTACGAAGGACCTAAAAACGCACATGACCTCCCACTCGGACGAGCGTCCCTTTCCCTGTCCCCACTGCGAAAAGTCCTTCAAAACTCGGAGCACCCGAGGTCAACATGTCAAGCACATCCATAACGCCAACTTTGTCCTGAAAACGCCCCACAAATGCGTCCACTGTGGGAAGGAGTATCCTCGCAAGTCGTATCTGGAGGGTCACGTTCGTTCCGCGCATACCGGGGAGCGCCCCTTCGTCTGCACGCACGCGCAGTGTGGGAAGGGCTTCGTGCTGGAGACCATGTTAACGGAGCACTTGAAGGTGGCCCATGGATTGGGGAGGGTGGGGAAGGAGAGGCTGCCCAGGTCGAAAAGGGAGGTCGTCGGGGAGGAAGGGGGTCACTAATTGGGAGAAAGCTTTTCATCGGGATAGATAATTCAACGCATCAAGATAAGCGAGATCCCTTATCACTTTTAGGATATATCGAACCTCCCTCGAGGTCACATAATCCTTTGGGGTTTCAATCTATAATTGCTACATTTCGTTCACTAGGGGCTATTTGTAAACTTGGTAACTCTGGCCAATATGGGCAGGATAGGGAAAAAATCCTATGTTGCAATACTAAGCTGATAGTATTGCAACATATTGCTAATACTGATAATAATTAATAATGGAGGTCTTCCAACGTATGCTCACAGATTTGGAGGAAACTAGTGTCAATCGAGCACAAATTTAATTAATATTAAATTTGCAAATGTGGCTTTCTGCCAATGCACAGGTTTGCCGGAGATATTTTAACTGATCAAATACTTTTGGAGATACGTACCTATTAAAGCTCAAAACTGCCCAAAATGTGAAATAATTGACTTTTTCGCTCTCCAAAAATCTTGACAAGATGGTCAATCTTGACAAGATGGAATGGGAATTGATGTCAAACTATGAATAAGCATATATTCATGAATGTTCAAAATTTTAGATTGTTTGGATGAATTTTAAATTTACATTGACCATTTAACAGTGCAAATATGGATTATTGCGTGCATTTCGATTCCTTAAAAAAAAATAAAAAAATAACCGTTTTATCCTATCCTGAAAAGTCTCAAAAACAGCCTTGTACTTTACGGGTCTACGGCGACGATATTGAAGTTTAAAACAATACAATCGACCAAAAATTCTATGTCGGAGTGGTCAATATTTCAAGTCGAAATTGCACATACAGCCACAGTGAGGTTTAAGTTTCTAAATAATTCAGTTTTTAGTGTCTCGTTCTCCGTGCATGAAAATCCGTTCCAGTAAATTTTAGGAGAAATATTCATCACCAACGTATGTATGTATTGACGCTAAAGAAAGCGGGTCAGATGGAAGCGAGGCTTTACATTCATAAATACGGCTTTTCCTTGCATATGTATGAATGGAAGGCTGTCAGTTTGGCCAATATCTCTTCGGCGAAAAAGTTCTGCTATAGAATTTTGGAAACAGAACGACAAAATTCATTAATCCTGTTTACATTACTTTAGATCTAATATTTTAAAAGTACACTTTGGCGAGAATCATGTCATATTGTGGGAAAATTGACAAATATCTCATGACTCATGACGATAGCACATAGCTTCAGAATCTTGTCATCCAGGGTAGGGGCCGTTCATTAATTATGAAACTCGATGCAAATAATTTGGCAAAAAATTGTCATCCGCGGAGGTACTATCCTCTATTTTTAATGATTATGGGTAAAGATTGAACCCGTAAGATTCGGAAGTCGTTTGTCCCCAGTGGGAACTACGGAGAAAATTCGTAAACGAAAATTACGTCTTGTGTTTAAAAACACAGGATGTTGTTGCCAAAAATAATTAATACTTGCATGTAAAAGAATTTCTTATTTAAATTAAGACGTTGTATATGTTTTTAAAAAAACGAGGTCTGTTTTGTACGCGGGTTTCCGGTTTCGGTGACAAACGTCTCCTAAATCATTACCCAAAAATATCACGCTACATAATTGATAATGATGGGTACGGTCCCCTATTAAATAAGTGTAACTGTTTAAAATTGAAATATCTATGTAATTATGTTATAAGAATTTATATATATATAGTTTAATAAAAAAACATGATTAGGCAAGATTAAACTCGAATTTGATGAATAGTCAATTGCAATTTTAGGGTTAACGGCGTTGCATAATTTAGTTTGACCATTTCATGATATTTTTACCATACTGGCGAAAATTTAAGATTCGCCGAACCGGTGGTGAATTGTGTAGGTATTTTTACCCTTCCCGTCCTGGCTTGGATGAGACATTGATTTCCACGCAGCAAGTATTGTGTAGCGAACTGGTACATTTAAAATAGCGATAAGATTGTTGGCTGACCGCCAGTTAATTTGTATATGTCAAGGGCAAAGTTGAACTTCTCTCAATTTCAATCAAACTCGTCCAATCTTCATGTTAAATATTTAATTTTCATTAGTGCAAATTCTAATTCACCTGGCGGTCCTAATTTAATAATATTTTGTAGCCCTTCTTGTTGTTGTTGATGTCACTGTCTGCGCTCTTAGAATAAATTACAGTATGGCATATAAATCAATCATACGTTAAAAATGGATCAGAATGGAGCAATCAGTAAACAATTTTGTGCCTCTGTGGTTTACTGATTAATTATTTATCCTCAAACCCAGGTTTCTTCAAAATTAGATTTCAAATTTCTTGACGGAGTTTAATCCATTATCAACTGGATACCGTTTCGGAGTTTGAAACTTGCTATGTGTTAACAAAAAAGTGAGTAAAATTCTTCCGCAAAAGTGTTTATAGAATTTATCATATAGAACCATGTACCGCGAATTAATCTCACTTCTACAGGGTGCATATTTGTTCCCAAAAACTCGCACGTTTACCGCTCTTATTCAACTTAGCGATATTTCTTCGGTTTGCTCATACACTTCAGTTGCCCATGTACTTTCGAAAATGTGTTTCCTAGTTCACGCCTTCCCATTCAGTTTGGATACAAAATATGTGTTCCGCAACAACTCAAAGTGTGAGTTTCCATGCATCTTCGCTCTTGGGGCAATGTTGCTCCAATTGATTATGTGTTTTGCTTGCTTACAACTACAATTTTCACATTCGATTGGCGGAACTAAAGAGGAAAATTGGAAACCAATCCTACTCACATTTTTCCTGGGAATTTTTACAGCGGTGGTTTTTATTTTGTTTCATTTATTGCGGGTCCGTAACGAGGCTGTTTGCCTATTAAATAGTTCTGACGATATGGAAAAAAAATATCGAAAACAAGGTTAGAATTTGCTCTTGGTAAAGAAGCTTACGAGGTGTGAGCTAGGTTAATTGTCGCTAGAAATACCAAAATTTACACACCGGTATATTCAACTCGTCACTGTAAAGTCAACATAATTTTCAATATGTCACTTATTGAAGTGTTGAATTTGAAATGCTAGAAGTTGTTAACAATAAAGTAAATTTCTGGAACTACATGTTCTTATTAACAAACTGTTTGTCAACCGATTTATTTTTTACTTAATTCCCATAAATACGAAGGGTTGTTCCCAGCGGGAACAACCCCTCGATCATTGTGTGTATCAGTTGCTCGATAAGACATAGCGTTAGGTTGATGTTAATGACAACTGAATTTTGCACATAAATTTCGCAAACAAGTATATACGAACTCGTGTGTTTGGCTCATTTTGGTAAAAATGGCGAGCTTAAACCCTGTTGACACGTATGTTTCTTTCCTAGCAAGACAAGTTACATATAATACGTAGTACACCAGTAATAATTTAAGTCGTGTAACTAATAGCTTTTATACAATGCGTCATAAAATTAAACTAGGTTTCCGTGGTTACGTTACTCGTTACTTTCTTGGAGTTGGACTTCTTGCCATTCAAACTATCGTGATAGAACCAGTCGGAGTTTTTTTCGCTTATCTCCTAAACCCTTGTATGCCACCTGCGTTCATGTCGATGGCATTGTTTCCATGCTCTGGCTGGAGTGATGCTCCAAAGCAATACTGGGCAAATTTTATTCTAGCAATGTTCGGAGCGTATTTTGGCGCACTGGTATCGAGTACGTCAGTATTTGCGATGATCGTTCTCCTGGTGTATCCTGTTGAAATACAGCTGCTTCTCCTAAAGGAGTTTAAAAGGTAAACATTAAAAGGTAAAGGGAAAGCAAGAAAATCGACTTTCAACCCGATTGTGTATTATTATTTTTATTTTTTAAATATTTTTGTTCATTGCGAACGAGAAATCCAGTATTTTTCACCATCTTGATTTTTATCGATCTATAATAAGACAAAATCGTCTATTTTGTTTTGTCTTGCAGAGGATTGCAGTCAGGAAACCGTAATCGTACAATCTTACTTCGGCAATATAGAAGATTTCAATTGTTAAGTCGTCTGCATAACAATGTTTTTAAGGATCCAATTATGCCAGCAGTTATTATGGTCATCATATTGATACAAAGCACATCGCTCTACGTTCTTGTGACGTTAGGTACCGAAATCACCTTAGCAATTTTGGGACTATTTTTCGTTGTGGCGATCGACTGTTTCATCGTGATTCAGTGTTTCTTCAAAATTATGTCCTACCCTTACACACGATCAGTTAAGGTAATGAAACTCGCACGTAAAGGAATAATAAATTGCTCCAAGTGGGAAGTCAAATTTATTAAATCGTGTTATCAATTGAAAGTAGGGATGGGAAATGATACATTTTTTGATAGAATGACATCCCTCATAATTTGGAAGACGAGTACGGATATTCTAATTACATTCTTGTTAATGTAGAACGACATCATCGTCGCCCCTCAGTGACCTCGGTGTGAGATGGTGTGACGCAAAATTCACGATTAATTGAACCAGACCTGCAAAGAGAGAAATGGATCGCAATTTTAGGGTCACCTGAATCCGAACGAGGTCACTGAGGAGGAAGAATGGTTAGCAAGCTTTCAAACATTAGTTTCTTTTATTTAATTCAACCATAGTTACCTCTGAAATTAGAGGCAAACCAAACTCTGAATTTCAAAATCTTATATTTTCGAATGTCTAGAATTTCTAAACTTTCTCATTGAAACTAAACATTTTAACCACCCTGTAGTTACTCCCACAACCAATAATTTATTACCAGTTTACCAAGAGTGTAGTGAAATGAAGATTACACAGCCCAATCATACATTGTTCTCGTACAAAAATGTATACAGCATTAAATATTGGCGATAAGTCGGTCGTTTTCAATATTTTTTCCAATCAGAGTAGTTTTTTTCATCGTAGACTCGAGAGAAGGGTTGTCACGAAAATAAAATAGGATAAAAATGCTTATTGAAAGCTTGCTGGCTACGTTAAACAGGAGATAAGGGTGCTCGATCTGACTTACTCGTTCCCATTTACGCCGGACGAGGAAACGCACAACTTAAGGATCCGCGACCCTTGTTCAAAATATAAGGAGAGAGATGCTCGACTGTTGGAGTATTTTCAGCTACTGATTTATTAAACGCAGCTCATTGTCATACATATAAGATCATCATCTAAGTCATTCAACTTTTCATGCATGCATTTATCCACCCATAATATTAGGTGGTCAAGTATGTGCATCATTGCACATTTAGCGACATAATTCATATTATAACATACACAATCAGGGTTATTTTTAACACTCCCTTTAACAATTATTTACGTATGAATAATAATATAATTGCTTGGTCCATTGATCTCCTTGAGAGGCTGCTCCTCAGCTTGGCGTTGAATCCGTTTAGGACACATATTGCATTTCTTGACAAGAAATACTATTGCACACAGAAAAACTACTAGTGAAAATAATATCCCTAAAATTAACACTGTTATTTCTGATGCTGTCCAATTGTCATCGCTGAATGAGAACACCTGCAGATTCCTGGCTTCTTTTTGAATCCGTTCGTCATTTGTGTTCCAGATTTCATTTAAGTCTTCACTTAAATGACTCCAATTGACTCGCGGATTCAAGTGCCAGTTTACGAGTTCAGAAAAAAGATGATCTTCTCGCTCTTTATAGACGACACGTAATATATTTCCCTTGAATTCAACCTCGTTCAGAGTGAATGTCAAAGATAATGGCAATGTGAATACTTTGTCTGGACATTTTACTCTCCTCTTGCCCACCAAGTACTCTCCTCCTGGACAATATACATGATAAAGACTGTCAAGTATTTTTACTTGTACAAACTCTTTTTCATCTCCAATTGCCGAAATCTGACACTTCTCAATCTTATAGAGTTTTCCTCCGTTTGAGAAGGACGATTCATTTCGACACTTGTTTGAAGTCGTCATTTCAATGTTGTTGTGAGCTTTTTCATAATAAGTCTCATACACACATTCTTCTCCCACATGCAATGTGGCAACAGTCGGGCCTGAGTATTCCATACGACAGGTTAAATTATCTCGTTTCAACATTAAGAAAAACGGATCTGCTGTTAGTTTAGTGAGATTTTTGTTCACTATTGGCACCGAGAAATCCAAATTTATTTGAGTTCTCTCCTTGTTCATTTGGCATAAGTGAAATATTCCAAACTCCACTGGACACTCGTCTCCACAAGGCAGAGTGAAATTCAGATATTCCAAAAGGTCAGGAGTCATTTGTTTTTTCTTCCATGTTTTTTTCGTGTCCCAAATCACTTTTCTCCCCTCAACCAATTTACTTGTGAGGTAAGAGATTAAATATTGTATGGTTACAACTCCTTCCTTAAAGTTGTTTAAATCATTCATTGTTTGCTGGACTTGGTAACCAACTTTAATTATCTCCATTTTTAGAACTTTTATGTGCTGACGGTCTTCATAAACTTGTCTTTCAAGTTTATTGAAAGCAAATTCTAGTTCGTCTTGTCGAGTTTCTAGTCGGTGTGTCTCTGCTATTGCATAACTGCCCAGTCCGATCCCAGCACTTCCAACACAAGCGACAAGAATAAATCCCACAACGACAGGAATTACTCTTTTTTGTCTTCGCCTCCCTTGTGGTGGAGAGCAAATATCTTCTAAATTATTTAGAAATATTTCGTCATATGCTTTTTCACATTGTTTTTTCATGATGTTTGCAATTCTGGGTTCCAAATCATCCAATGGCAAAAATTCGCATGGTGAAATTAAAGCGATTCTCATATTTATCGCATGAAATCCGATCACCACTGGTTCATAGCTCTTTCTCCACAAAACAGGACTTCCCTCTTTGTGTAAATCGGTTGCTCCAATAGTTAAAAATGAGAGCAATAAAGCCATAAAACTCCACAATAAACTGGGTCGCTTTGGGTTGACAATAACACTGCACAGTGCTCTTCTCTTCTCTCCCTTTGCAGGAGGAGGAGGGACCATTCCCATCAAATATCTTTTCGTCTCAAACGACTCCCTCACCACTGATTTGGTTAAAATATCAGCAGGTTGAACTTTGTCAGGCAAATGCTCCAATACGACTTGGTTTGTTTCAACCAGATCTCGGATGAAGTGATGCCTAATGTCAATGTGTTTTGATTTGTCGTGGAATTCATCATTTTTCGCCAGTCTAATTGCACTCTGGCTGTCCGTTTTTAGACAGATAGGTTCATTTTCCAGTGAAATCATATCTGGCTCTAAGTATAATCTGGTTACCCAGACCGCTTCTTTTCCAGCGAGAGCTAAAGCTACATATTCAGCTTGGCAACTGGATAAACTTATGCAGGTTTGTCTCTTACTCATCCACACGATGGGAGAGTTGTTGTGAGTGAATAATACACCCGATGTTGATTTCCGTGAAGTTGTGTCGGAGCCGTAATCTGCATCTACGTACGCACAGACGACGTCTCGGTCTGCCTCACTTTCAGTGTACATAATACCAAGAGATTTTGTCCCTTTTAGGTATTGCAGGATTCTTTTTGCTGCATTCATATGTAGTTTGTTGTAGCTCCCAAAAAACCGGGATAAATAATGCGTGGCATACGCAATATCTGGTCGTGTACATCGCACTAGAAATAATAGTGAACCAATGAGTTGTGGAAACTCTAAATTTGGGTCACATTCACTCCCGTCAAACTGCAAACCAGGCTGCATAGGAATTGGTAGTGTGATGCAATCTTGCATTCCAAATCTCTCAAGCAAATCCTCGATATACTTAATCTGGTGCAAGAATATTCCTTCCTCCACTTGTAAGATTTCAATGCCGAGAAATCTGACAAGGGGTTGAATTGTAACTTTGAATGAAGCTTTTAACTTCTCAATTTCTGCAAGCAACTCCTTTTTGTTTTTACCAGCAAAGAGTCCATCGTCAACGTATATTACTACGTATATTTTTCCCGTGGATGTTGTTTTCATAAACAAACATTTGTCGCTTTTGGATTGTACATATCCCATTTCTTTCAGCTTTGCGCTAAATGTCTCGAACCAAGCCCGTCCTGATTGTGGCAGTCCGTATAAGGTTTTGTCCAATATGTAGACCATATCAGATCCGATTTCATAACCTTCAGCTTGTTCCATGTATACTTCTTCTTTTAGTTCTGAATTCAAGTAAGCTGTTCCTATGTCGAATTGTACTAATTTTAATTTCCTTGCTGCTGCTACAGACAACAAAGTTCTGATCGTCTCATATCTGCTAACTGGTGCAAATGTTTCAGTGTAATCTACACCTTTGACTTGGTTAAAACCCTTCACCACTAAGCGTGCTTTAAATTTCTCAATTTCACCGTTTGGATTGTGCTTAATTTTATAAACCCACCGGTTTTTCAGCACCTTTTTTCCTACGGGTCGTTTTACAAGTCTCCATGTTCCATTTTCAGAATGACTTCTCATTTCAGAATCCATCGCCTCCTTCCACTCTCCAGCATATTTAGAGCTGAGAGCTGCTGAATAAGTTGTTGGCTCGGTGTTTGTTGCGTGCATAGCTACATTTGCGCTGCCGGCTTGATAAAACTTCCTTTGTTGCCTCTCCCTTTTGGGTTTAGAGGAACTGGGCTGTGGTGGGAGGGAGGTGTTCACAAAATTACGGTCTTCTTGTGATGCTTCCCATTGTATCTCATCTGCCCATGTTTCGTTGTGCTGATGAACTTTGGGGTTAGTTTGCTGCGGAGAATTGCTTGCTGACGAATAAGTCTCAGCTTCTTCACCCTCTGTCTCACTTGCCCCGTCTGTTTGTTCAGTTTCATCATTTCTTACTTCTTTGGTAGAAAATGTAGTAATAATCTCATCAGGTTCATCGTTAGTAATGCTCTCTCTTCGAGAAGCATTTGTTTCGATAAAATTCACATGTTTAGCTTGGTAGTGATATTTTCCTTCCGCTGGATCATACAAAATATAGTTCTTTGAATGCGCATCAAAACCAACCAAAATGCATTCTGTAGCTTTGTCATCGAATTTCTTTCCTTGTCCATTTGTTATGTGAGCGAAGGCTTTACTCCCAAAAATCCGAACATGCTGTAAAGTAGGTTTCTTTCCTATAACTTGTTCGTATGGAGTTTTTTCTGTATTTTTTGTACTCAAGGTTCTGTTGAGTACGTAGCATGCAGTTCGGATTGCATCCTCCCAGTGCGATTCATGCAGCTGACTTTGGATCAGCATTGACCTCGCTGCATCTTGTTCGATTCGCATTTCACGTTCTACGAATCCATTACTGGGACTGCACTGAGGTGAGTTGAGACCGAATCGTATTCCTCGTTTAGAGAAGAAGGATACCAATTCTTGGCATTTGTACTCGCCCCCATTATCCGATCTGAACATCTTCACGTTATTTCCGGTCTGAGTACGCATGAAGTTAATCGCATCTATAACATTCATTGCGGTTTCACCTTTTTTCTTTTGGAAATATACTTGTCTAAAAGCTGATGCTTCGTCCTTTACTACAAGGAAGTACGAATTTCCATTTTTCGAAATTGCATTTGCATAACCAAGATCGGAATGTAAGCATTCTCCTGGCAAATACTTTACAGTTTTTTCAACTGTAACGTAACTCTTCTTCTTGGACTTTGCTTTCATGCATATTTCGCACTTGAAATTCACATCCTCTCGCTTCATATTTTCCAGGCCATACGCAGCCTCTTTGTCCTTAGTATCGTTCAGAAACTTGGAATTAATATGAGCTAATCTCTCGTGCCATACAACAGGCTTGATACAGGCCATCGCTCTGTTTACAATTGGCTTGAATTTCATTATTTGAAGACCGTCTCTTCGTTCGGCTTCAATATCACGCTGTCCATCGCGATAATAAATAATTTGATTATTTCCGCTTTTGCTTACTACTAAGCCTTTGTCGAGAAGAACATTTTCTGACAGTAAATTTGCCCCCCCCCTGGCACATATTCAACTTGATAAATAGTTATTTCTACCCAAACTTTGTTAATAAGTGCTTTCACTTTCACTGCTCCTACGCCTTTTACAAGCATGAGAGAGTTATCGGCCATGCTGACCGATTTTGGGCATGGGTATTCTGTATATTCGAAAAACCAGTCTTTTCGCCCACAATAATGGCGATTTGCACCAGAGTCATTTATCCAAAGGTCACTTAGCCCACCAGCCATATAAGCTCCTTCTGATTTTTCATCAGATTTCTGTTCCTTCTTTGCAGAATCTTTATCTTTGAAGGTGCACTCACTTTTCCAGTGGCCCTTTAATTTACAGATGTGACATTTAGTTTTCTTTTTCAGATCACTAATTTCTTGTCTGGTTCGCTTTGGTCGCTCTTTCTTGGCTGCATATGCTTTTGATGTCTCTTCGACATGTGAAGCATTTTTGTACGTCTCGCCATCTTCTAACTCCCAGGTTTTCAACCTGGAGAGAAGTAGAGCTGATGTTTGTTTCGCAATCTCAACTGACCTCCAGGCCTCTCGAAATTGGCGAAACTTTTCGTCCATCATACTGGAAATTATCCTAGCGACCTCCATCTCGTCATCAATTACAGCTCCCATACCACAAAACAATTGTTATTAATTACCTAGCTTATAATAATTATGTGCTTTTGTAATTAATTATTACAGTACTTAGCTAAATAAGTTAATTATTAAGGGGTGAAAACCCCTTTATGGGAATGTCTTGTCTGTCTGTCTGTCTGTATCCACGATAACTTTAGAACGGATGCGAATATCGAGATGCGGTTTTCGCCAAAGTATTTCTAATTTTTGAAGTATGGATGAGTTCGAAGATGGGCATTGTAGGTATTAAGGTCACGGCGCCATGGCGACGACGCCGTGTCGAATAGGTGTCGAATTTTTTGTTTCGACGGTTTTAGACGTATTTTGGGATGGGGATTTCGAAAATCGACATCATTTTGACGAACGATGACCGTGTGACCGTGTAGACGACGCCACTTGAATTATGCCATGTGGGGTGTCTATCGAAAGGTATAGTCGTGTACGTTCAAAGTACGCGGGAGTTATGTCGAAACGGGGCGAAATGAGACGTGGGGTAATGTGAGATAATTGGGGAAAATGACGGGAAGGTATTGGAAGACGATGTGGGTGTGCCACAAGGACATTTACGTGTGTTTTCACCCATTTGCTACATTTCGTTTGCAACGGTTTATTCATTAAAAAAATGAATTAACGGATTTGATTGTCTTTTAAAAATGTACGGATCATTATCCGATCCGATCGGATATCCGTCGGATTACTCGGATTCGGATCGGATCGGCCCTAATATCCGATCGGATTATCCGACATGATGAAATATCCGATCCGATGGACTGTCTATCCGATCCGATCCGATCCGATCCGATGGACTGTCTATCCGATCCGATGGACTGTCTATCCGATCCGATCCGATCCGATCCGTCGGATAACCAACCCTAGTCTTGATCTTGACTGTTCTTAACTATTACATATTTACATAAGATTTTAGAATTACACAGGTAAACATGTGAGAAATTATTTTAAGATAGTTCTTGAAACTCATGGTACTATTTTAGTTCAGGACCACGTCCCACTAGGGGCTTTGAATATTTCAAAAATGAGTTTTTTTACATAGTGTCAAGTTGACACTGTCAACCCATATGGAGAGTTTTCCGAAGTTGCACCTACTAATAAAAATTTGTTCCGCTGTTGGGAGCACAATTTTAAATTTTAGTTAACATGTATTAAAATTAACTTTCAGCTATCAGCTAAATATGATGAAATTTCGTAATAATTTCAAATTTGTAACATTTTCTAAGTCAGCTGATTTGTGGCCTCAAGGTAAGCACGATATGTTCAAAAAATTCAAATGAATATTAAAGAGTGGAAGATGCGAAAATGACTCGAAAAGTTTTTGCTCAAAATTCCAGCAACAAAATTGAACTATCCATTATGGGGTGTGTGGCATGTTTAGGCACCAATTACATTAAATAGCTAAGGGTTGGATAATAAACATATGCAAACTGTTTCGAACGTCCTTCACTGTTCGTGCTACTGCAGTGATTTGTATCGACCTGTCCAAAACCTTAGTGTACGCTCTTTATTTATAATTATATAAATTATTATAAAATAATTTAATATATTGATTTGTGATCTCTGTAACCATGCATGTGCATAGTCAGCAAACAATTTTACACATCCCACAATTGAATTTACGTGATATGATTTCTAGTTTATCGATAATACTTTGCCTGACGAAGAACAACGACTGTACTATCCTTTTACTTAGGCGTGTCACCTCATTTGCATAAATCTCACTATGCCCATTTTCGGCGATACGGGCTTTCCATGTTGAATAAACTCTATGTCTCTCGCGAATGTGTCAAAATATGCAAATAAGGTGACCGGCTATAATAAATCCACAATATGTGTTCGATAGTTTGCAAGATAATAAATATTATCAATTAATATGTCCTCCAACAACGATTTAAATCATTCAAATTTAATATAGTATTTTTTAACCAAAATCCGGATCAAGGCTGAGCATAAAATTGCGAAATAAAGAAGTGGAGAGAATTGGATAAGCGTATCAATTTTTTGGCATGGCATCGTATCCATTTATTTATTTGCTGGAACGCAGCTGGAAATAAAAATACATTATTTAAATTTCAAATCTAAACATTTCTAATAAAACTTCCTTGTCAAACTATTATTCATTATTTTTATTTTTAACCTGGTGATTTAAAATAATGAGATATTTTTTCCTCCATATTTTGCTCAATTCTACTTGATTTATTAAATTTTAAACGTTAAACCGTTACAATCAAGTAATTTCAAATCAATTCTACATAAGTAAGGACACTTTTTAATTTCTAGCGCAGATTTCGCCTTCGTAAACCATGCAATTGCTTCCTCCGTACTAACTTTTCGATCCTTATTAACATCCGCTTCTTTCACAAAGTACTGTACGAAATTTGGGTTGAATGAAGAGAATAATGCGTCCGCACACGATGAGAAATGTTCCTTTGTAAGATAGATAGCCCAGTTCACCAAAACATGGGGCGGTGCACCGCCGCTTCCAACACTTGGCACCAGAGCACGTCCACACAGAAAAGTGTGCATCATATTGCAATACAATAAATGATCTGAACGAAAATCATTCACTGCATGGGGTATAATTTAATCAAAATAACGATATAGGTATATTCAAATTCATCGACCAATTTCATTTTTTTCTCAAAAAATAAAAATAATAAAATTCCCGGTATAAAACAAGCTAATGGACTCCTCGCCGATGGGGGAATGTGATACACCAAAATATCGGGTTTTTCATCCTGATCAAGAATATATAAATTTTTTGACCGGCAAATATATATTATTAAGGTCAGAAGAAAAGGTCAAATGTAAAAAATATTGCATTTTTTGACGTTGCAGGCAATTCTAAGACTTTGTCTCACTTTACCCCAGGCCGGAAATTTGTTGGGGTACTTTGAGATTTTTGGGCGAAGCGAGCGAGCAGGTTAGGTTAGTTAGAGTACGCTCTTCTAGTAAGCCCTACTAGCTATCAAAGCTAGCTAGTAGAGTTAGCTAGTAGATGGCTAGTAGAGCTAGCTAGTTGGGCTAGCTAGCCAGGATTCCGTGCGGTTAGATCGCTAGCGCTCCGCACGGTTAGGTAAGGTGACAAATCTCAGTATACCCCAATAATTTTCCGCTATGGGGGAAAGTGAGACAAAGTCTAAGAATAGCTTTAAACGTCCAAAAATGCAATAAAAAATTTGACCTTTGACCTTCACTTGTGACCTAAATATGCATTTGCTGGTCAAAAAATTTGTATATTCTTGATCAGCATAAAAAACCCGATATTTTGATGTATCACATTCCCCCATCAATAGGGAGGCCTTGGAATAATTCTTCCGTTAATTAATTAAGAGTGAAGTTAATTAATTAGTTGGGACATTTGTTATAATTATTAATTAACTCTCTAGTGTAATTATTCGACGGGAGAGCAGTGGGAAAAAGTGCCACCTGCGAGATCATTCTGCTCGGCTCGCTCCGTATCTCGTGCGGGTACAAAATTCTGAGCAGTTAGCCGGAGACCCAAAACGGGCTTCACGACAATTTTTTTTACATGGGAAAACGAACTAAGATTGGAAAACTTTTTTCCTATTCAAGATTTTCAATTTCCGTTTTTTGCATCTTATTCTGGTAGGTGTCCCACAGATTAAGTTCGAACATGGGCACGCCCACTAGTGGGGGTGGCCAGAAAAAATGATTTTCCTTTTCATGCATTTTCCAACTTCGCAGAGTATGGGGCCAAGTGAAACGAACGTAAAGAATTAGCTTCGCTACTTTTTTACGTCCGTTTTACACGGTTTATTAAAAGTAATCAAGTGGAGAGAAAAACCAGAGCGAGCATGGATGCGTGTTCAAAAGTTGTTTTCCCACTTACAAAAAGCATCTTCACCAACTGAGCAGTCTATCCTATTCATCTCTCGTCGTCTGATGCGTCCGCTCTATTTTATTTTATGGACAGACCAGTACATATTTCCGCTGGTATGAAAACCTGCACAAAATTACTGCATAAAATTTTTTTATTCGTTTAATAACACCCACCAAAAAAAATCTGGGTAAAAATAATTTAAATTCTCACAACGAGAAATATGAATTCCGTATTCATGGGTTAATCGCCCTGTATCATTTTTGTGCATTTATATGTATGTATTTTTTACATTTTATGCCATTCTGATGATTATACATGTGCAAAAATAATTTGGTGCCCACAAAAAGAATCACGACACACTGACTTGCACACTGAAAGGTTTAAAGGTTTATTAAAAGGTTGCCAACTTTTACTTCGCTCATGGTTAACTGGAGCAAAACTGAAGAGTTTTTTACACAATAAAAATCTTTCTAAGCTGAACTTTCAGATCTGTAGCGAGTACGTTTAAATGGTACCAGACATGGAGACGCGATAAAAATAAACTTTTCGAAAAGAACTTGCTACAGATTCCTCTTAACTTTCATTGGATACTAAATTCCGGAAAATTGTTCTTACTGAGGAGGACAACCCCTCACCGACAAAGTCACCGATCTTGATGCCCTTTGGATATGTCGTAGTACTCGGTGAGTCTAGCACAAGTGTGGAAGGATTTCATTCCATGGCCCCATTTGCGCCCGCCACACCTCTTTGAAGGAGCGCCCCATGCTAAACTAGCCGCACTAAAACCTTCGCCAAAAATCCAATTTTGCTCGGATTTTCAAAAAAATTACAGATTCTTGATCCCAGATAGTTGCTTTATCATATCAAGGATCAAACTCAACTTTTTTAATTTTTTCAATATTAAAAATTTCATGGCAGAGGTATGATTTGGAAAAAATCAAAATTTCAAAAAAATTGAGTTTGATATTGGATATGATAAAGCAACTATCTGGGATCAAGAATATGTTATTTTTTTGAAAATCCGAGCAAAATTGGATTTTCGGTGAATTTTTGAATGAACCAAAACAGGGTATTTTTCGTGTTTTCCGCACCTTTGAGTGGGTGTGGCGGGCACAAATGGGGCCATGGGATGAAATCCTTGCACACTTGTGCTAGACTCACCTAGTACTACGACATATCCAAAGGGCATCAAGATCGGTGACTTTGTCGGTGAAGGGTTGTCCTCCTGAGTAGAAACTTAACACCTAAAAAAAGAACCCGATTAAATAATGTGTAGAATTTAGAAAGAACACCAACCAAAGTAAAATTGATCTTTTTTGAGTATAAGTGAGGGACATTTTTTGTAAAATCGATCTCTTTGAGAAAGCAATGCATATTTTTATTTTTAGGAAAAACAGCGTTTCTTCCGTTAAAAGGCGGCTGCATAAAATTGCTGCATATTAATGTTTTATGCGTTTAATAGCACCGACCAAAAATATATTCTATGCATTATTCATGCCCAAAAATAATTTTGTCAAAAATACTTTTAGATCGATTTTGATAATTCTAGCTAATTTTCTAGATAATTGATAATTTTTATAATGTGATAATTCTGATAATTTGATAATTCTAGATATGTATAAGTTGGTAATGTTTTAATTAAATTTATGGTTATTGCACAATGTAAATAAATATTTGCAAAATCGATTTGTAAAGTATCAAGCTTACATAGGTAGGGTAGTGACCATAGTTATCAATTAATTAATGTATGATAATGCATAAATTTGTTTGTTTTAATCATTCCTCAAATTTGGATTCCTGTGAAAAATGGATTACGCATATGCTCGAAATTGAATACCTGCTTTTTTTAAAAGATGCATTTAAAAAGTGGTGTTTTGTTGCACATTTACTTTGAAGATTTAAATTTCGTTCTTGAGATTTTCTAAAACTCAACACACATTCTAACGCCCAGGGGTTGCAGTACTATGAGATATTCTTCCCTTGTGGCGTATGTATGTGTGAAATGTGTATTTATGTACTAGCAGCCCTGTCTCGACCTAATTCTCGACCGAATAGACAGGGGTGGTCACCCTGTCTATTCGGAAGTACATAAATATGTTGAGTGAAATGGGCAACAAAAAGAAATATTCTCTAATGAATAAACTATTTATTTCACAATTAGCTCGTAGTAATGTTGCTACAAAATATTATTTAGAGAGAAGATAGAATTTTATATGCTGCTCAATGGAGAGTTTAGACTGAATTGCCTAGAGAGGAATAAGGCGAGAAAGGACCTCGTTTGATGCAAGAGAAAGCAAACTGAAGGAAATTGACTGCCAGATGGAAGAGAGAAGAGATTTCTCCAGGAGGTGGGGCATTTTAGGACCCGTATCACTGGTTTGATCAGTACCAGTGGTACGGGTTACAACATTTTAAAAATCCTAAAACCTTGAATGATTGAATCCCAATCAGGCACAGAAATATCGACGCTGCCGCCGCACACAATTTTTACCTAACTTTACACGAACCAATTAGATAATGAGTTTGCTGGATATCTGGTTTACATATTCAGGGAACCAACTCCATATAGATGGGATCAATGGGGAGCTAAAATAAACGTGCTTTCCCCAGTCCTCGTTTTTTTTAATTCACCTGGTGTGGCATCGCTGTATTAAGTATTTTTACACCAGATTTGTTAGATTGACTGCTACATTTAAAATTATGATTAATCCAATTTTTTACTACAACTGTCCATTTTTCAGATTAATTATCTGGAATATTTCCACGCGCACTCTATAACAAAGACTACGCCAGCGACCCCGGTGAGCACAGCCATCAATTGAATTACGCCATATACCCCACGAAATTCTAGTCCAGGTTGATCTGGTCCACCCCTCGAAAACAATCCTTTATTCGGATTTATCCCATATTTTCTCATGGAATCCATCCATTTCTCCCTTTCCAATTTAACACTCCAATTATTATCCCGTTGTTCCTTCCACCTTTGGAACAGTCCGGTGTTATCCATCCGGCCTAAATGGTCATGAAACACATTACCCATAAAGATGGCCTGAACTGCAATTACCATAGTCCCGGAATCTATCGTCAGATCCTTCCCATTATACGAGTAGTGATCCAGGGCGGCAAAATTTCCGGACATCCCCGCAATTTCTTCCGCCAGTTGAGTATCACCTTTGGTATTTATAAACCCGAAAATCCCATGGTCATCCACCGTTACCGAAACGTTTTTAGGCTCTTCATTAAAGTCCCTTTTGATCAGGTGAAGGGAACAGCCATACGATAAATTGAATAGGATGTCTCTAACTGGTTTGATTGCAACGTCCCCCTGCGGCTCATACACCTTGTTGTAAAAATCCGTCAACCAGGTAACGCTACTTTTTGTGTGCTCCCCAATTTGCAATTCTTGGCCAATCATTTGATTTTTCAAATACCTCTCTGAAAACTCCCATACCGTAACTACCAAAGATGTCGTTAGTAGGGTGACCTCCTTGGTGGACACGGCTGGACGAATATTTTTCGGTAAGTTTATCCCAGGTTGTGCGACAAAGAATGAGATGAAATTACCCGAGTAGGCGGTCGCCAGGATGAAGACTAAGATTGTATAGGTCAACCCCAAGTATCCAAAGGATGCACTACAATCTCTGCAACGGAGGTTGTGCTGAACATTGCTCTGACCGAGAGACATAATGAAGAGGGACAAAACAATGTCTGACATTGGCGGGACTTTTTCAAATTTAAGGGAAAACATTACCCAACAAAGTACTCCGTACACAGTAAGAAAGACTACTACAAGGGACCAGGTCGTGTAATGAAATACTGAGGCTAGCGCGAAAGCAACGTTGATCCGAGTTTGGTTCTTGTGAACGTATAAACGCAAAGAGAAGCCGAGTTGTTGTGAGCAGTAGGGATCGTACAGGAATCGGAATTGTGAGGTTTTTTTAATAAAATGATTTTCCCGGTTGTACTTTGTGTTGAACGAAACTTGTAAACTGCTCCTTATCATGGCCGGACTTTGAATATGGTGAAGGGTGAAATTATATTTTCTACTGATGACAAATGCAATACAGTAGTCGACCGAGGCGACATTCGTTTTATCCGGGTTTACTCTGTCCAAGCAGCTTTTGCCTAAGGGTGTGGGACTACCCATGAAACCTCCGGAGCCTGTGTAAAATGTGAGATGGTGAAAGTTTTTGTTAAACTTTTCCCAGTTTTGGTGTAGCGGTTCAAGGGATTGCACATTTTCTGTGGTCCATATAACGCCATCTGGAGGCGTGTCTAATGTTTGTATAGCAGGGCCCAACAAATGGCAGTGCAGACACAGGGGAAACATCTGGGAATTCCTAACAGCAAAGTAGGAGCTGCCATAGAACAGCGTATCGTGTAGTATGGTTACGACGTTCGTTTCAAATACGGTTTCTTCTAGGGTAGGTTCCCCGCTGAGGAGGAGGATCACAAGGGATGGACTGCTACTTAAGGAAGGTTCACCAACATTTGTAGGAGACTTGTTTGGTAGAACAGTATTTTGGAGGTAGGTCATAATGTTGGACAAAGAATGGCCATATTCCGCCACGCTCCTGGAGTAACTCCCCATGGTGTGGAGGTGTATGGTACAGTGGCTGTGTTTTCGATGGGTGTCACTAACAGCATGAAATAATCGGTTGGTGAGAGTGTAATTCTGAGAAAAATGTATCGTTTGCAGAGCAGTCACAGTATGAAACAGATTTGTGTCAAGTTGATGCACCTCGGTTTGGATGGTTTTTGCAATGAAGACGTGTGTCAAACATGAGGAAATTTCTTGATAAACCCTGCTAGTTGCTAGGGTGGGAAACAGGGCTATGATTGTTGTAATGACTGATAACACACGCATTTTATTGTTACCTAAGTAGGCTAAATATGTATGTATATTTGTGTTTCAACGGACAGACTAGTAATGGTAAAATATCGCTGACCTACTAGGCTTTGACTGGTTTTAGGGTTGATGATGATGGATGACTGATAACTAAATTGTGTTTCATACAAATCGAAAAACCTAATTATGTTTCATGTACACATTAGAGCAGCACAAGTGCATTTTGAAAAATTTTAATTGGAGGTTGAAAGTGTTTTTGGCAGAAATACGTAAAGGATAACTGACACTGCACATTTAGCTATCCTCCTGTGACAAAATTGGGCTGAGCTGTCAATCAAGATGCAACGGAACGGAATTTAATGGTTTCATTGAACGCAATTAAATTGATACTTTGGCATTTACGTACAAATTTCAGGTCCAGGTTCAGTATCGGTGAGTTTGGCATCGTTCTGCATTCAGCTTCTTTAGGTATATTTTAAGCTAAAGAAACTACTCATCAAGTCAAGTCAAGTAATCCTTTATTAACATGTCAACAAATATCAGTTAATATAAACTGGTTTCCAATTCATGACACAATTGCTATAATTTATGAAGCGCCTATTCTAAGCGTCTTTCGTAAGGTTTAGGAATGTCCCCTTAGAGCCTCGCTACGGGGGAATGCGCGGTTTCTTTTCTCGCGAATATGTTTTTTTTGATAAATCAAATTATAAGCTTTAATTTGGTATATCTAAGTAATTTCTCATCATGTTTAAGGCTAGAAGATCTTGAATTGAAGGTCGGAAAAAAGAGTGAACGCGTTATATAAAAACAAAAACAAACTGCGACTCTAAAACTACTTGGTCCATTATTGTTAGTGTTTACATATTTTTATAGAAATTTGTATAATCATGACAAGTAATGGAAAAAAGATGGAGGACAATATAAGGAGAATTAAATAATCCGCCACCTAGTCAGCTAGAAACTGTCTTTACCGAGGTGAAATGAAATGTTACAACCGGAAAATATTTTTTACAGTTGGGTAAGGATAAACTAAGCCAACCGTTATGTGATAATGACAATTTTATGGATTTTATTACAACTTTATTTCGAGTGCATCATTATTGGTTGTCATCAACGTGGGCCTACCACATGTCACACAAATTGGATAACCTACTTTATGCTATTCAAAAAATTCCTGCATAGATTCTTCTAACATGAAATTGATGAAATTTTCAAAATAAATATTTCCATTCAACATATTTATTATAGGAATTTTGTCTTTTGTTTAAGTGTAAGTGTCTTTTCACACCTTAGGTCGTTATTAATACGGCCCCAAGAAACTCTAATTTGGAAAGGACAATAACAAATTCCACGTATAATCACCAATACTACTGAAATACTCAAATTTATACGCATTGCCTACCCAGTAGAATCGATAATCGTTCCACACTCCCAAGAGAGCAGATTAAGAGATTTCAACACCTTACCGTTCACCCCAGTCCCCATCGGGCATGCCCACCTGCTGGAACCCCACTTCTTCAGAACCTCACCCGTCCCTGTATTCAGGTAGATTAAAACCGATAGCAAAAATTTTATCAACCCGATTAACGAGCTGGATAAGTATGGCGTCCAGAAATACGCGAAGCCCGGCACTTCGGCAAACATTCGACACGTAACGTAATTAAAGGCCACGATAACAACGAACGACGTAAATAACATCATGGACAGCCATGAATTATGAATTCTGAATTATGCCACACAAAAAGGCATCTACTTATTATCGTCGTAAATTACTTTTCGCAAATCATAAGAAATTTTCTTGTATCGTTTTCATTTAAAATAAGTCCTTCGCCACATCGATTTCGCAAATAAAGATTTTTTCGAGTGACATGAATATCCATATATGTATTGTTTTTGAAATTTTGAGAGTCAAAACTTTTACAAAACTTCGAGATGGAATTTTTTATAAACAATGTATTTTTTAGAAAATTTCTCTCCTTAACGTGCTAACAATTGAGGAAGTGCTTCACCATTATGGTTACCAGGAAATGCAAAAATAATAATAAATAGATCAAATCCCAGTTTGTTTCTTAAACATAATCCGCTTTCCCATTTTGGAGAGACACACACATGAAAAAATCGGTGAAATTGAAAGCAATAAAGTGAAAATAAAATGGATGCGAAGGTAAAAAAAAATGTATAGTACTTACAGCTTCCGTGTGGATGGGATGCACGGCAAAGAGCATGGAGGCCACGAAACTCCCCAATCCCAAAATCCATGTTCAATTGTTACCATGACTATCAAATCAATACAAGTGCTGGCCAATTAAAAATCGGCATTGTTTCTTGGCACGTATTTAAATCTTGATACTGTAAAACAAAGCAACTTTCTCTTTCACAAATAAATATTCTCCACACATGAAAATGAAATTGTAATTTACAATTTGTAAATATGATCGACCGAAGAACAATGCACTTTCATTTATTTACTTAAGCAGGCATTCATAATTAACTGACTCCGCGTCAATAATTCAGATCCCTTTCTTGCTCAGATCTTTTTCACGAAATGTTTCTATTTTCCATCTTTTTATCAATATTCCTGCTAAAATCTTCGTTGGTGAATGCTTCCTATAATGGGTTATCCATCGTTAACTTAGCGGCCTTGGCCAAGTCAGAAGTTTTGATTTCCACAGAAATTCATAAATTGGCTAAGGAGTCGTCCCATTTTGTGAAAAGTTTCCCATACGTTCCCGAATATTTGGAGGATTATAAACTCGCGAGGGGGAACTTGGACGTGTGGGATGTGGCGAGTAACCCCATCGCGGCGTACGCCATGATAAGCAGATATGTGTACTTGTTGGACAAACTTATGGGCGATATTCACCAGAGGGGAAATTATGGTTCGATTATATTTAATAGTTTAATTTTATGAATCATTTATTTGTATATAGTGCTCGACACGAATCCGAGTAGTTCGATTAAAATCCAAATCCTTGTATTTACGAATTTTCCCATCTCGAATCCGAATATGAATGAGGGTTCGGGCACAACCCGAATCCAGATTACTAACCCGGGATTAGAGTAAATTCGAGCCCAACAGAAGCCTTATCAATACATTCCTAGAAAATCAGTAAAATCCGATATTGGTATGTGACTTTACCGACGTGATAATGACTTGGTAATAAATTTACAAAATTAATATCATATGGTACAATATTTAATACTGTCTAGTAATAGAATGATTATTACGTGGTATTATTTCATTACTGAATTTATGCAACCGTTTAATACCAAAGCGGTAGAGTCACATATGTATCAATACAGCTCATTTTTGAATACCGAGTTTCTAAGAGTCTAAGATTCTTATGCAAGAATCCGAGTTTGATTCAAATCCTGATAATATCCTTTTTTTTTGAAGATTTGCCCATTTTGGATTCGAATCCAGATTTGAATTAATCCCAGTCCGACTAAATCCAGATTTATGCAGAGCTCTAAGAATTTATTGATTTATATTTTGCATCTCTGAGATAATGATTCTCCTTAAACTTTCCCAGACGAGTTAGAATCGTTACAGAGGTTACTAAATGTAAGTGCCCATTGGCGGGACGAACACGACATGGGGGCCGTGCTAGGAAATGTGTTCAAACTTCAGTACATTTTTGACCTGGAGCCAGAAGATGTGAGAATTTATGGAATGAATTTACTTGGATTTTGACAGTTCTTCAAATTACTTTTTGATACTTAATTAGAAATCTGTTTATTGTTTCTTAGCTGGCTGTTGGACGTATTGGGAAAACTGAGACGGGGATTTCACTCCCATTCGAGCACATTCTAGAAATTGCAGAGGCGGCCATAGAATTTAAGGAATTTACGGCATCTGCGGCATGGCTTCGACTTGCCAAAGATAAAAAGATTCCGGGACACGAACAAGTCTGGGCAGAATTGGTGAGGCGACATGATGAGGCTTTTACAGATGAAAGGTACAGCTCTGTTGTAGATTAATAATGTGAACTATTAAAGTGTCCGCACACTAAATAAATTTGTGTAAAATGTGGTCATATTTTTGTAAAATTGAAGATGATACAACAATTGATCAAAATTTGTGTACAATTTAAATTTTCTACTCCATTGGACAGTTTTAGTTTTTATTTAAGGTTTAGTATTGCATGCAAATCAATTACGAAATATGTAGGCTTCATTATATTTTATGAAATATATGTTTCGGAAACTTTATCTAATTTATAAATAAACTTGTCACCAAATGAGACAAATTTAAATTTCAGGTTATCTTAAAATCGAGAATTTCAAACTGTCACTTGCATATCTTGAATTAGTTGCTTATGATTATCTAAATAGTTACAGGGGAAACGAGGTTACAAAATTATCCTGGCCTTTCACATACATAATCCAACACAATTTTAATCTAAAAAGATTCTCGCAAATACTTTTCATGCATTTTTTACTTATTTAGTAAAAATCTTCACTTGTTCGAACACCCGCTCGCCACACACCCGGACGCGGCCCCCATCAAATTTCGCAACCTAGAAAAGTGGAAGGACGCCACGCTAGCCGAGATGGAAGCGGACCTTACCGCTTCTCACTATGCTACACTCGCCCTTTGTCGGGCGGGCGATACTTTGAGGGGAGGTTGGAAATTGAGGGGGTGTTGGTACGACTACCAGTACATTAAGGGGCCACATGGTCCCCTTCTACCCGTCCGAGTGGAACAGTTAACTGATGATCCGGACGGACTGGTCATGTTCCGGGACTACATTCCGACCCAATGGGTTAAAAAATTGAAGGAAATTTCCTTACCGGAAATGCCATTTCAGGAACCACCCTCCCATTGGCAACAAGGAGAACCAAGCGTGGCTGGTTTTGCGTGTAAGTTTTAAGGTCTTAAATCATCGAATTGCAAAAAAGTTAGTGTAGGATACACTCTTAAAAATAATGGAAGCCTTTTGAAAAATGAATGCTTTCTGAGGGAGTAGGCGCAATAAGGGCTATTTGCAGCTTAGAACGTTGCGTATGTTAACTCGTTTATTATTAAAGATCGTGATAGTAGGCGAAAAAAATTATAATGCGCGGGTTGACAAAAAAGCGCGTTTTCCGACTTTATTTTTAAGAGTGCATCTCAAATAATTAACGAAATGAGAAGTACATACATATTTAGCATATTTTCACGATTTTACAAACTTTCTAAAATATTTTGTCCCGAAACATGGGCAAATTTGCCATTGTGATTCAAAAATCTGCCAGAAATACTTCTTCAATTTAAGTGTAACACAATTTTTACAGGGTTTGAAGATGTCGATGTCGCCAGGGACCAGAATGTCTGGATTGCTCGAAAACTCGAGTTGACCACTGGATTAAGCGTCGTGGGAAATATAGCATCGGAAAAGCTGAGGGTGACCCTGTACTCTCTCGTGGGTCAAATTTCCCCACATCATGACGCCTACTCCATCTTTTCAAACTCGGCGGAGGACAGTTCACTTTATTTAGATCGGATTTCGACAATGCTAATTTACGTGGGTGAAATTTAAAAAAAAGTTCTGCAAATCTCATTAGTGTTCGTTAAAAAAATTGAGCTAGAAAAATCTGGCAGGTTATTTGGCAGTTTGTGCAAATAGTATCTCTACTTTTTTGAAAGAACAGTATTTATCTTTTTCTGAAGGATATTACTAAACATAATTTTTGTAAAATTAATTTGAAAATTCCTCAAGAATCTCGCTTTATTTTTGAAACTGTATTTATTTTTTTAGTTGAACACGGTCGAACTTGGCGGATCTACCGTATTTCCGGTCGCTGGTGTCGCCGTGGCACCGAGAGAAGGTGACGCCATTTTTTGGCACAGCCGGTGGCGAAATGGGACCGTGGACAAGAGATGGCTCCACGCTGCCTGTCCGATTCCCTTGGGGGTGAAGTGGACAGCGTCAAAATGGGTTAAAAATGATGGGAATGCTTTTAGTAGAAAGTGTGACATAAATTCCCAGCTCTGAGTTGATCGTAATATAACTCTATTTTTTTTTAATTCCTGATCCCGCATAGTTGGTTTATTAAATATGAATAGTTAAAATAAACATTTAAGGTTTGGAGTATTAGTTTATGAGTTTAATACGGAATCGCTCATAGGTTAAAAAGTGGTTACCCTAGTGGGATACGAACCCGCACTTTCTATTAGCTATTCCACACCATGGGAAATTTTCGCAGCATGACGGCCTTTTTGGTGAACGTCATTGAACCGTATGACAGACACAATATGATAACAAATATTGTTAATCCGACTGAAAATAAAATTCCAATTTTTTGCAATTCATTCGTTTTGTTTGATTTTGTACAGCATTTTTGCGACGATAATTTTTTCACTAACAAAAGCAAATCAATGCTTACGGTTAGATTGAAAAATTAATTACTTCAAAGTTTCTGATTCCACAAATCTTCCCAGATTCTTGCAAAACTCGTTGAGAGACGAACCATACCATCAGAAACAGAATTATTCTCAGATTTCGCAAATTCCAGGACAAGAACAAACGCCAGGGAAGCGATTGTCCATTTTATTCGAAACATTTTTATGTATTTGTAGTTTTCTACGAAACTAAAATAAAAATCTCACTTAAAATCTAAATTACAATTTAAGCAAATCTGAATTTTCCTAGCGGAAAACAGGCTGCCAAAAAATTAATTTTCGTTGCTAGAATTTTTTTTACCCCGTAAAATTCCTACGGGAAATGAATGACGAACTAAATTTAGGTTGATACGGATGTCTAGCAATGAAATCTATCCAGACATCAGATGTACTGGGGTGAAGGTGCAATTTCTAATCTGCGTCACATTCATGATTATTATTATTGTATTAGTAATTTTTATTGCGATGTTTAATATGAATAAATGATATACCAATGATGGGTAAAGTTTCATAAATAATTCTACTTTGCGCATTAATCCATTATCGCTAAGAGGTAGGTCGGTAGGCTCCACCACTAAATATATCAAATTAACAAACTTTATTATGCTTAATTGAATTAAGAATGGTATCAATAATTTTAGGCACAAGTATTATCCGGTTTTCCTTATAGTCTCGATGACTCATTTATTTAGTTTCCTGTAAGGTTGCCGCGGGTAACGGGCCGGGTACCCGTTACCCGCATACCCGCACGAAATTGCGGGTACCCGTTTGTCTGCGGGTAGCTACTACTACCCGCACGGGTAACGGGTATTTCGATTTTACATAATTAAATAGCTCGCCCTGCGCAGCAAGTGAGCAATTGATTTATATAAAAGTTCTATATCTATTTTGACAACTTATTTTGCATTATTGATGCAGAATTTCATCATGGTTTATACATAGGTAGTGAGCGAGCCATATCAAATATAATGTGCACATCCCCCGTCGCATCGATTTCACCAAAATTTATTAAAAAATATCCAAGGAATATCCCATTGGAAGGATCAATGTAGCATGACTATTTATGAATTATATGCAACCACACCCCCTTAGATAATTTGGGAAGAAAATTGGGAAAAATGAGAAAGTTAATGCACACTCGACACACAAATAATTAGACCCCAAGTTGCATTTGACATTTCAATTCCCCTATGAATATGAACATTTTGATGCATCAAAAGTTTCAAAATTCGAAAATTCGCGTTTTTTTTTGTCGACACATAAATCGTTAAAAAACTCATGGTCCCGGTCATTTCGCGGCTGACAACCTGATGCCAGATTTTTCTACTTCAGAAGAGCCACATTTTCAGCTTTTGTTGTCCGACGAGAACTGACCGGAACCATGAGATTTTTGCGGTCAAAGTTGCTGTGGGGGCCATCTTTTATGGCAAGAGCCGTAACAAACTTTTGGCCACTAACACAAAGGGTGAGGTGGACAGGGCAAAGTGAGACAGATTCACGCACGCCACTGGATGAGGCGGTGGTGCACACGCGAGAGAATTCGAGTTTTTCTCTTTTTCTCTCGCTGGATGGAAATTGATTTTCATGCACATTAGATTTGATATGGCTCGAGCGTCATTTTTCGGGAATTCTACGAGTCTCAGTGCAATACTAACAATGAGCTGGGGTGAACTAAACATTCAGATTTAAAATTTTGAAATATGAGGTTATAGTCAATATAACCAACGTGTTTATTGACGCAGTTTGTGCGATCGTAAGAATTTATCAAAAAATTTCCAGTCAAATTTGAAAAGGGAGCGATTTTTAACAAGTGGGGAAAATCCACTTCGTTACCAATAAAAATCGGTATTTTTTCAATTTTGATCCCAAATATTTTGACAAATTCCAAACATCGCTCAAACTGCCCTGCATTCACTTGAACGACACAATTCCAAAATTTAAACAAAATCGGAATGTTGCACTTCACGCTATCCCATTATAAATTCAGAAAACGGGAAGAACTTATTGTTTCTCAAGCATAAATTACTTGCTTTAAGATTTCAGTAATTTTACATGTGTATTTATTTGGGATTGGCGATCTTTCAACTTGTTTTTGTAGGAGTAAAAAAAAATATGATACGATTTAAAGCAAAAATTGAAGTTGCAAGCCAATATTTTTAAATAAAAATGTCATTTAAATGAAAATTTCAACAAAAATTTCAAAATTTGAAGTCTCGCTGGTTTCTTGGCTAACCGTAAGTCAATAAGTTTTCATGAACAGTTACTTAAATACAGCCAACTATATCATCACCTATTTTATTCTAATATTTTATTATAATATTTTATTCTAATTTTACTCTCTCAAGGTTCTTATTAACCTAGAAATGTAACTAATTAATTAAATCGATTTTATTTTGGTAAGTGGTTAATGTTTAATTTAATTCTCAAAGCGGGTAACGGGCAACGGGTACCCGCACGGGTACCCGTGCGGGTACGGGTAGTTGGGCTGCGGGTAGCGGGCCGGGTAACGGGTAGCATTTTCGCTACCCGCGGCAACCCTATAAATTAATTTATTATTTCCAAGACTTGAAGAGAAGTGTCAACTTTTTAGTAAGATTTACAGGTTAGCTTAAGTTTCGCACCAATTGTATCATGCCATTGAGTTGAGAATCTTATGATAAAACTGCAAAACTATTCACATTTGACAAACAAGTTGCAGCGTCAAAAACTGCCGCATCTCAGATGTGGCATCAAATTAATGTGGCAGAAAAATGACGCAAGTGTGAACGATTTTGCATTTTTTGATGTGGGTGATGCGGAAACCGGCATCAGCATCAAAAAATGCCGCATCACGCAGGAAAAAACGCATATGTGGGTGAGCCCTAAATCAAGTTTTTGGGCATGGGATCTTAAAAAGCGGAAGTGATCCAAAGTGTTGTCCCTCATATCGTCTCATATAGAGTAAGACCGTCTTACTCCATGGCCCCATTTGCGCCCGCCACACCCCCTCAAAAGTTCAAAAACAGCGAAAATTCCCGCTCATAAAAAATCGCCAAAAATCGAGTTTTATTCAGATTTTGGAAAAATTTACATTTTTGTGGTCCCAGATAGTTGCTTAATCATATCCAATAGCAAACTCAACTTTATTGAAATTTCGCATTTTTTCAAGTCAACCCCTTGCTCAGGAAATTTTCGAAAATGGTGAATATTTCAAAAAAGCAGAGATTGCTATTGAACATCATTAAGCAACTATCTGGGATCAAGAATATGTAATTTCTTAAAAATCCGAGCAAAATTGGATTTCTGGCGAAGGTATTAGTGCGGCTAGTTTTGCATTTGGCGCACCTTTGAGGGAGTGTGGCGGGTGCAAATGGGGCCATGGAGTAAAACCCTTCTTCACTTTTCGTACACCCATATAGTACAACAACATATCCAAAGGACATCAAAATCTGGCGTTGACAACCTCTGACTTCCTACTCGTCAGTTGAATCGAGCCGCGCAAGCTCGGATCATCGAGCATTTATTGGCCCGCCTCTTGTGTCTAGTTAAATACAAATACTTTTATGTAACGAAAGAGGGTGTCGGGCGGTCTTAGGCTGAATGATATCGTGCCTATGTCATACATGTTAACGGGTGGAGGGGGGTCTAGAAAATCGCGGTTTTTGCGTTATGTAATTTGCGGGTAGCCCCTTGGCCTAAGCGGGCCTATATCTGACTGTCCAAAGCAGTTTTGAAAATCGCGCCATAACACAAACGTAACAGCATAATATTTAAATTTTATTATGGTAACTGCTTATGCCCTTTTAACCCTCAGAAATATTTAGCATCTTCTTTTAAAGTTCACGGTGTAATGTAATGTTGTCCATAGTATAATTAGTTAAAATTAAATAATTAAGTGCTTTCATTGTTTATTTGTAGGCATCGTGTGAGGTGTCGCAGAGCTTTGGCAGACGATTATGAAATGGAATGAAACAGTAAATTTATTATCTATCACGCAACAAATCATACTGTTTATCGTTGATGAGTTTATCATGTACATCAAACTAACCAAAACATGATATTTGTCATTAAATAAAAATCTGTAAAAGCATTTTGGTGGGTTGGTGTTCTCGTTTCATGAAAAATAAATATCATGAGGAAATAATGTTTCTTCTTATTAGATATTAATTTCGTCTTTCCCATATTTATATTTCGTGATTAGAAGCTAATTTCGATCTTCCTCTCAATCTCGTAATCTTGATTTAACTCGTCGCATTTCTAGCAGACGTCCTCAACAATGGGGAGCGTGTGGGGAAGGATTGGCCAGCAGAAGCGGATCTCTATATGATGCACTAGACTTAAGAAACATGAACAACATTTAATAATATTTAATTTGATTAGTTAGTTACTCAGTTTTATAGGTGAACATCACCTGAAGCAGGATATGAAACCCATAATGACGGTCGGCCCATAAATTCTCATATAGAGGGGTGAGAATCTCACCGTGAGATCGAGGGCGGATAGAATCCCAAATTAAAAGTACCAAAGGACGCGATCCACCCCAAACTGGGATCAGTCGAGCTGGAGAAAGCGGAACTTGGTAAATCGAGAGCCCTAAACCTGTAATAATAATTCAAGGATGTCATAGCATTTCACAATAATTTTATCGTCAGTGCCTCTGCTTTCTCACCAAATACAGACGGCTGGTAGGAATCGACGCGTCACTCAGTTTCTACATTTCCAAATCTGCGGCATAAAATTCCAAGTGGAGACGGCAGTCGGTCGGTCTGTTCAGGCACTCGGTCGGACCACAAAGTTCAACGCCAAGACAGCCACAATCATTTAGGCACACTTTTGTGTTTTTCTATAAACACAAAAGGCATACAAGTAGGACTTCTAATACATTGATTTTATAAATAAACCCTTGCAAACGAAATATAGCAAAGGGGTGAAGCAACACGGTCATGGCACATCAACTTGATGTCAATTTCTGAAGTCGTCGCGCAAACTACGTCTAAACCGATCAAATAAAAACAAACTCTATTCGACAGCTTTGACCGTTAGCGTCATCACCGTGGCACCATGACCTACAACGACCTTCATCTAGCTCGTCCGTACTTCAAAAATTAGAAACACAATTGGGGAAAATCGAATGTCGAAATTCTGAAGTTATCGTGGATACGGACAAACAGACACACAAGATATTCCCATAAAAACTCATCTCTATCGAATTAATGAACGCCCTCGCCCCGCAGAACAATGTAAACAGATACGCCAACATACAGGTCAATCTCCACTTTTCGACAGAAATCAGGATCGGGAGCAGCGCCTCCAGTCATCGAACGCCGGCAAATTCGCCATCGGGAAAGGACACACAAACATTCTTAATGCATAATAACGTAATACTTAATAAATACGTACATTCATTAGCGCAGCACCAATGCATACATCGTTGCGGTCCCTCTCGACTCCAGGATCTTGAACAAGGTCGTGATGACGAATTGAAAGAGATGGTTGCATAGGCATCGAGCCACGCGAG